AAATACAGAAGGAAAGCTGTACAACCCACAAATGTGTAAATATTAGACAACACTTCAAAACAGCCAATGGGTCAAAGAATACATAAACCATGAAATCAAAAAATATCTTGAAACAATTGAAAAGGGAAACACAACATATAAAATCTATGGGATGCTGAAAATTAGTTCTTAAAAGGGAAGTTTATAACACCTACATTAAGGAAAAAGAAAGATCTCAAATCAACAGCCTTAAAGAAATTTTAAAAAAAGAACAAATAAGTCCAAAGTTAGCAAAAGTAAAAAAAATAACAAAGATGAAAGCAGAAATAAACAAAATAGAGATGAGAAAAACAATGAAAATAATTAACAAAACTAAGAATTGTTTTTGAAAGATACACAAACTGACATTCATCTATTTACTTTTAGCTAGAGTAAGAAAAAGAAAGATGACTCAATAAGAAATAAGAGTAGACATTATAAGTGATACCATAACACACAAATAATCATGAGACTATTATAAACAATTATATGTCAACAAATTGGATAACCTAGAAAAAAATAAATAAATGTCTAGAAACAAACCAAAACTAGATCATTAAGAAATAAAATAAAAATCAGAACAGACTAATAATGAATAAGGAGATTGAATCAGTGATCAAAACCTCCCAACACAGAAGAACCAAACCAGATGATTAGTCTGGTAAATTATACCAAACATTTCAAGAAAAAATTATGCTATTCCTTCTCAAACTCTTCCAAAATTGAAAACGAGAAAATACTTCCAAACTAATCCTATGACTCCAGCTATACTCTGATACAAACGCCAGATAAGAACACTGTAAGAAAAAAAATGAGAGCCCAATATCCCTAATGAATACAGATAGAAAAATTCTCAACAAAATATTGGCAAACCAAATTCAACAGAAAATTAAATGGATCAAACACCATGGTAAAATGGTATTTATCCCTAGAATACAAGGATGGTTATATGCAAACCAATAAATGTGATATGCCACATTCATAAAATGAAGCTAAAAGAATAATATGATCCTCTCAATAGATGTAGAAAAGCATTTGGCAAAATACAACATCCTTTTATGATATAAATGATCAACAATTTAGTGTAGGAAAAATATACCTTAATATAATAAAGGAATAATCCCACAACCAATATCATACCCAGTGGTGAAAGGTTGGAAGCTTTTCCTCTAAGATCAGGAAAAAGACAAGGATGCTCATTTTTCACCAGTCCTATTCAACGTAGTACTGGAAGTAACAGTGAAAGCAGTCAAGGAAGAAAAACAAATAAAAAAGCATTCACATTGAAAAGGAAGAAGTAAAATGTTCATTGTTTGCAGACCATATAATCTTATACAGAGAAAATCCTAAAGACTCTACCAAAAAGCTGTTAGAACTAATCAACAAATTCAGTTAAGTTACAGAACAAAATAATCAACACGGGAAATAAGAAAACTTCTATTTATTAACAACCAAATGGCTAAAAAATAAAGAAAACAATACCATTCCCAGTAGCATCAAAATCAATAAAATACTTTGAGAATACTAGGTGAGAGACTTGTACCCTGTAAACTACATGAATTTCATGAAAAAAAAAAAAAAAATCTAAGAAGACACAAATAAAAGGAAAGATATCCTGTGTCCTTAGATCAGAAGATCTTATATTGTTAAAATGCAAATACAACCTAATGCCATCTACAGATTCAATGCAATCTCTATCAAAATTCCAATGTCATTTTTCATAGAAATAGAAAAAAAACTGTCCCAAATTTGTATGGAACCACAAGAGGCCCTGAATAGCCAAAGAAATCCTGGGAAAGAACAAAGTTACAGGTACACATTTCCTGATTGCAACTCATCTACAGAGCTAAACTAATTAAAACAGGATGGTACTGGCATAAGAATAAATACATAGACCAATTGAACAGAACTAAGGGCCCAAAAACAAACCTCTATATATATGGTCAACTAATATTTGACAAGGGAGCCAAGACTAAATACTCAATGGAAAATGGAGAGGCTCTTTAATAAATAGTTTTGGGAAAACTGGATATTCACATGAAAAAAGAATGAATTGGACCTTCTATTTTGCACAATTCACAAAAAACAATACTAAGTGGATTAAAGACTGAAATGTAAGAACTAAAACCATAACTCACCTAGAAGATATAGGGGGAAAGCTCATTGACATTGGTCTTGGCAGTGACTTTTTGGATATAATACATAAAGCACAAGCAACAAAAGCAAAAAAATGATAAGTGGTACTTCATCAAAATAAAAAGTCACTGCACAGCAAAAGAAATAATCAAGAAAAAATAAGGTAACCTAAAGAAAGAAAAAATATTTGTAAATTATATATCTGATAACAATCTTCAAATATATAAAGAATTCACTGAACTCAATAGAAATAATATTAATAATAATAATTAGATTTTAAATGGGCAAAGGAACTGAATAGACTGTTCTCAAAGAAGACATACAAATGGCCAACAGATACATAAAGTGTTCAACATCACTAATATCAGAAAAATGCAAATCAAAACCTTAATGAGATACCAGCTCACACCTGTTAGGATGGCTCTCATCAAAAAAGTTAAGAGATGGTAAATGTTCTCGAGGTTGTGGGGAAGATGGAACATGTGCACTTTTGGTGGAAATTTAAACTGGCACAGCAACTATGAATAACAGTATGGAGGTTCCTCTAAAAGTTAAAAAATATAACTACCATGTGATCCAATAATCCTACTTCCAATACACTTCATATGCAAAGGAAATGAAAACGGGATCTCAAGAGATATATGCACACCCATGTTCATTGAAGCATTATTCACAATAGGCAAAATATGGAAACAACCTAAGTGTCCATGAATGGATGAGTTGGTAAAGAAGATGTAATATAGCCCAGCTGGTGTGGCTCCGTAGTTGAGCATGGACCAAGAGGTCACTAGTTCAATTCCTGGTCAGGGCATATGCCTGGGTTGCAGGCTGGATCTCCAATAGGGAATGTGCAGGAGGCAGCCAATCAATGTTTCTCTCTCATCAGTGTTTCTATCTCTCTCTCCCTCTCCCTTTCTCTCTCTCTCTCTCTCTCTCTAAAAATCAATAAAAACTTTTTTTAAATGTGATATACATATATGCATACATACAATGGAATATTATTCAGTCATAAGAAAGAAGGGAATTCTATCATCTGCAACGACATGAATGAAACTTGTAGGCATTATGCTAAGTGGACTAAGTTAGAAAGGGAAAGAAAAAAAACTCTATAACATCACTTATATGTGGAATCTAAAAAAGCCAAATTCACAGAAACACACAAACTAAAGTAGTAGTTACCGTGGGCTGGGAGGTGGGAAAAAGGGGAAGATGTTCATCAAAGGTACAAATTTCCAGGAATAAAATGAATAAGTTCTGGGAATCTAATGTACAACATAATGTCTGTTAGGTACCTGAAATTATATACTGGAAAATATAGAAGGTTGCCAAGACAGTAAATCTTGAATGTTCTCACCTCACAAAAATGAAATAGTAATTATGTGACATGGTGGAAGTACTAGCTAATGTTATGGTGCTAATCACTTTGCAAAATATGAGTATCAAATCAACACATTGTGCACTAAACTTATACAATGCTATATGGCAATTATATCTCACTAGTGGTGGGGGTGAAGAGGACTTTAACATGAGACATGAAACTATAAAACTCCTAGCAGAAAATATAAGAAAAAAAGCTCTTAGACATTGGTCCAGGCAATAATTTTTTGCTTATGATACAAAAGCACAGACAGCAAAAACAAAAATAGACAAGTGGGGCTACATTAAACTAAAAAAACATCTCGGCAAATGAAACAATCAACACAGTGAAAAGGAAATATAGAATAAGAGAAGATAATTGCAAATCATATATCTGATGATGGGTTAATCTCCAAAATATATGTCACTCATACAATTTGATAGCAAAAGCAAATAATGAGATTTTAAAATAGCAAAGAACCTGAAGAGAGATTTCACAAAGGAAGACATCAAAGTGGTCATCAGATATATGAAAATGTGCTCAATATCACTAACCATCAGGGAAATGCAAATCAAAAGAACAACTCACACTTTTTAGGATAACTATTATCAAAAAATAATAATAATAAGCTAAGCGAAACAAGCCAAGCAGAGAAAGAGAAATATCACATGATCTCACTTATTTGTGGAGTATAATGAACTAAACAAACTGATGAACAAAATTAACCCAGAAACATAGAGGTGGGATACAGACTGACAAGCCTGTCTGGGGCGAGATAAACCACAGAACTTACATGCATGTATGCATGACCAATGAACATAGACAACAAAGCTGGGGATGGAGCGGGGGGGGAAGCGGAGGAGGATGTCAATGGGGAAAAAATGAGAAATATCTGTAACAAAAACAAATTAATAAAATAAATAAATAAGTGTTAGCAAGGACATGGAGAGAAGGTAACATTTATACACTGTTGATGGGAATGAAATTGGTACAGCTTTTATGAAAAATAGCATATAAACTCCTCAAAAATTAAAAACATGATCCAGTAATTTCATATATATGTGTGTGTATATATATGCATATATATACACACACATATATATATATAAATTTTATGAGGCCAATATTATAATTTCATATAATTATATAATTTCATTTCATATATATTATATAATTTCATATAATATATAATTTCATATAAATATATATGTAATGGATATATTAAGTCGCTTAATTGTGATAATTATTTTACTATATGTGAATATTAAGACATCAAATAATATACTATAAATATATGCATTTTTAGTTGTCTGTAATACTTAATAAAATTTAGAAAAAATATAAATGTTAAACAGTATAGAATTTAAATTTATATATGTATATAAAACATATAAGCATATGAAATATAAATTATATAATCGCCTACTATCTTGGCAATGTTAATAAAATATTGAAGACCAACAATTTAGATGTTACAAAACATTATTACCTTTTCCAAATATGGATGCACAACGTGCATCAACATTATGGCAGTCTCCATTATAACAAATATATTTATCGTTTTCACATAAACGTCCATTGAGTATAGTTATATCATGAGCACAGGCTGCTGAGGATCCATTACAACTTTCAGAAATATCACATTCAGGATGTGCAGCAGGCCTACATAAAGAACCTGCTACTTTAAACTGGTAGAAAATAAAATATAAAAAAATAAAGCATTATTTATAAGATAGTTGTGTTTATTAATATTTATTTCAAAATTGTTACTTTCATTTATAGGTTGATGGTTTATTCATTAATGTCTCTTAATATCCTCTATATAAAGTATTATGCTAATTATATTGAAAAGCATGAATGTTTTTAACTAAAACAGGAGATAAAACATATACACAAGGAAAGTATAACAAAGTATGGTGTGATAAGAGTCAAGGTTTTGTTGTGTTTTGGTGCAAGGGAAGAAAAATCACTTTTTCCTTGTGATAATCATTCCTTTTGGGTAAAAACAGTGTAATCTAGACAATTTCCAAATAAAATATACTTATTCAAAACATAGTTTGTAAATATGGAGTATCTGTAATTGCAATCTTTCCCCTGAATTACCCTGTAGTTAATTAAAATTTTCACATATAAAATTCTAAAACTTTATATAAAGAATCTTAAATGGGCATCTATCTCATACTTCTTAATTAATGGTTTCCAATGCGAGTAGTAAGTATTCAATAAACTTTTGGGGAAATGAAAAAAAAAAGATCAAAGGTAAGAATGTAACTACATGGTAAGATTCTAGAGAAAAATAACATAAAACTGTGTCAATGAAAGAAAATCAAGAACATAGAACCCATGATAGATAGTTCAATAAAGGGATTTTCATATGATGAATTTGTTACAAATATACTGAAAGAACTAAAAATGAAAACAGGGGACAGGAGTCAACATCTTTACCATATCAGCTAAAATGTGATATTTAAAAGACTCCTGATCTTTGAATAATAAGTTCATAATTTAGATATTATGCTAATGTAACATTTGGAATAGTTACTTATAGTGAGTTTCATTGTTTATACATTTATGGGAAACTGTTGTGTCTTTCAATTACTTACCTACAGACACCTATCACAGTCAGTAACACTTTAATTTGTAGAATAATTTTGGATAAAGTAAATGAAAAAAATTCCTTTTAATGGAGATTTTTTTATTGAGGATTCTATACTAGCTCTCAATCAAGACTTAAAAACACAATCAAGTTAGAGAGAATAACGGCATTAAAAAAAGGCCTCAACGTCCAATCTATATAATTCACAAAATTAGAAACCTGATTCTGAATTTAGTATGTTTTTTTTTTTGCATTTGAAAGGTCATTCATTTGACTTACAACTATAGATCTAAGTGTTCTATAGAATCTCAGGTATGGAAGACACCCAAGCTCATTTTACAAAGCCATCATTATCCTGATTCCAAAATCACACAAAGAAAGAAAATTATAGGCCAATATCTCTGATGAATACGGATGCTAAAATCCTCAACAAACATTAGCAAACCAAATCTGCAATACATTAAACAAATCATACACCATGATCAAGTGGGATTTATTCCAGGGATGAAGGTTGGTACATCCAATAGACAATAAATTTGATACACCACATAAACAAAATGAAAGATAAGAACTACATAATCATATCAATGGATGCAGAAAAAGCATTTGATAAAATCCAGCACCATTTTTTATTTAAAAATCTCAGCAAAGTGGGAATACAGGGAACATACCTCAACGTAATAAAGTCCATATATGACAAACCTACAGCCAACGTCACACTCAACAGGAAAAAACTATAAACGGTCCCCTTAAGATCAGGAACAAGACAGGGATGACCACTTTTACCACTCTATCCAACACAGTAATGGAAGTCCAACCACAGACAGGTCCCTCCGTATTGTCTAGACTTCATTTTGAAGTCTATCTTATCAGATACGACTATTGTTACACCAGCTTTTTTTTTTTTTTCATTTCCATTTGCCTGGGAAATTTTTTCCATCTCTTTACTTTCATCCTATGTGAGTCTTTTGTTGTGAGGTGGGTCTCTTGTAGACAGCATACATATGGGTCATGTTTTTATCCAATCAGCTCCCCTATGTGTTTTGATTTGGACATTTAAGCCATTTACATTTAAGGTTATTATTGATATGTACTTATTAGTTGGACATTTTATTTTATGCCTTTGTTCCCTCTCTCTCTCTCTCTTTCTCTATTTCTTCTTCCTCTTCCAGCAGTCCCTTTACCATTTCTTCCAGTGCTGGTTTTGTGGTAGTAAATTTCCTTAGCTTTTTTTTTGTCTATGAAGCCATTTCACCTTCAATTTTGAATGATAGTCTTGCTTGATAAAGTAGTCTTGGACTAAGACCCTTGCCTTTCATTACTTTGTACACATCATGACACTCCCTTCTGGCCTACAGTGTTTCTATTGAGAAATCAGCTGACAGTATAATGGGAGCTGCCTTGTGGGTAACTTTCTGTCTCTCTATTGCTTCTTTTAAAATTCTTTGTCTTTAATGTCTGCCATTTTAATTATGATGTGTCTAGCTATGGATCTTTTGGGGTTCCTCTTTCTGGGGACTCTCTGTGTTTCCTGGATTTGTGTGACTTTTTCCTTCACCAAATTAGTGAAAATTTTTGTCATTATTTCTTCAATCAGGTTCTCTATTCCTTTCTCTGATTCTTCTCCTTCTGGTATCTCTATGATGCAAATGTTAATATGTTTTGTATCTTCCCAAAGCTCCCTTAATCTCTCCTCCTGTTTTTTCATTTTTTTTCCCCATTTGCTGCTCTATTTGGGCATTGTTTTCTACCTTGTCTTCTAACTCACTGATTCAGTCTTCAGCTTCTTCTGATCTACTATTGAATCTTTCTAAGGTATTTTTCATATCAGCTATGTCATTCTTTATTTCCTCTTGATTTTTATTCATAGCTCCTACCTCTTTTTTTAAGCTGATGTAGTTCCCACTGAGCACTCTATAATTCTCATTAAGTTGCTTGTAGTTTTCACTGAATTGTTTGAGCACCCTTAAAATCATCTCTTTGAATTCTTTATTTGACAAATGCTTCTTCCATTTCATTAAGTTCTTATTCTAGTGATTCTCCCTTTTCTTTCATTTTGGTGTTATCTCTTTCTCTCTCTATTTAGCCATCTGGTAGTTCTAGACCAGGTGAGGGATGTTGGGATGTGTAGGCAGGTCAGTGTGTATCAAACAAGGCTGCTGTGCCTCCCAGACTGTTCTGGTGTGTGTCACCTCTTGCCTGCTGTGGGTTCTGGAGGACTGACCACTGGTGGCTGGTATCAGTCTGTCCTGGTAGGTGCTGCTGCTGGATCATGTGGGCCCCACTGAAGCTATGCTCTCTGCAGGTTGCTGATGACGCAAGCAGCTGGATCACTCAAACTCTGCTGGGGCTCACTCTCCCCCTGTCTCATGGGAAGCTGGATCACACAGGCCCTGCTGCAGTCACACAGCTGGGTGACACAGGGTTCGTTGGAGCTGTGCTCCCTGCTGGTCCTGCACGTAGCTGATGGCACATGCCCCACTGGAGCCACGCTCCTCGCCAGTACTGCAGGAGGCTATATTGCTCATGCCTTGCTGGAGCCCTGTGTTTAAGCTATAAAAATAATCCCATTTATAATTGCTTCAAAAAGAAAAAAATATCTAGGAATAAATTTAACCAAGGATGTAAAAGACCTGTTCTTGGAAAATTATAAGACACTCTAGAAAGAAACGGAAGAAGATACAAAAGCATATACCATGTTTATGGATAAGAAAAATTAACATCATTAAAATGTCCATACTACCCACAGCAATCTACACATTCAGCACAATTCCTATCAAGATACCAATGGCATATTTCACAGAACTAGAACAAATATTTCAAAAATGTTTATAGAACCACAAAGACCCAGAATCCCAGCAACAATCTTGAGGAAGAAGAATAAAGTTGGAGGAATCATGCTATATGATATCAATCTATACTATAAGGCCATAGTAATAAAAACATCATGGTACTGGTACAAAAACATACATGGAAAAGAATACAGAGCCCAGAAATAAACCCACAATTGTAGAGTCAATTAATATTTGACAAAGGAGGTGAAAACACACAGTGGGCTAAAGATAGTCTCTTTAATAAATGTTGTTGGGGAAATTGGACCAATATGTGCAAAAAAATGAAACTAGACCACCCTCTTACACCACACAAAAGAATAAACTCAAAATGGATTAAAGACTTAAATGTTAGACTTGAAACCATAAAAATGCTAGAAGAAAACATAGGCAATAAAATCTCTGACATTTCTCAAAAAAATATTTTTTCTGATATATCTCCTTGGATAAGGGAAACAAAGCACACCAAAAAATAAACAAATGGGACTATATCAAACTGAAAGCAAAAGACAACTCACTGAATGGGAGAAATATTTGCCAATACATCTGATAAGGAATTACTATCCAAAATTTATAAAGAACTTACAAGAATCAACACCAAAATAAATAAACAATCCAATTAAAAATGGGCAAAGGACAGTGAATAGACACTTCTTTAAAGAGGACATACAATGAATGAACAATGGACATGGACAACAAAGCTGGGGACAGAGCAGGGAGGGAGGGGGAGGGGGAACCAGTTGGGGGGGGAGAAACATCTGTAACAAAAATTAATTAATTAATTAAATTTAAAAAAATATTTTGAAAGAATAAAAATAAAAAATAAAGAGGACATACAGATGAACAATAGATGTATAAAAAAAATGCTCAATGTCACTAATCATCAAAGAAATGCAAATTAAGTTACAATGAGATATCACCTCACACCTGCCAAAAAGAGAATCATCAATAAATCAACAAACAATAAGTGTTGGCAAGGATGTAGAGAAAAGGGAACCCTTGTGCACTGTTTGGTGGGAATGTAGATTGGTGTAGTCACTGTGGAAAGCAGTATAGAGTTACCTCAAAAAAGTAAAAGTGGAACTGCCTTATGAACCAGCAATTCCACTTCTGGGAATTTATCTGAAGAAACCAAAAACACCAATTTGAAAGAATATATGCACCCCTATTTTCATTGCAGCGTTATTTACAATAGCTAAGATTTGGAAGCAGCTCAAGTGTCCATCAGTAAATGAGTGAATAAAACAGCTATGGTACATTTACGCAATGGAATACTACTTGGCGTACAAAGGAAAAAATTTTTACCCTTTGCGATAGCGTGGATGGACCTAGAAAACATTATGCTAAGTGTAATAAGGCAGTCAGAGAAAGACAAATACTATAAGACTTCACTCATATGTGGAATTTAATGAACAAACTCAACTAATAAGCAAAATAGAGACAGGCTCATAGAGAGCAGGACAACAGCTCTGGTGGGGGATGGGGTTTGGGAGGGTGAAGTGATTGAGCAAAAAAGATAAGAAGAGAGAAAGAACTCATGGACATGGACAACTGTGTAGTACCTGTGGGGGAGATGAAGATGGTTGGATGTAGAAGAGGGTATATGGGGGATAAATGGTAAATAAAGGGTAAAAAAGAATCCCAGACATGATTCATTATATATTTGAATGATGTTAATAAACTAAATCTTACTTTACAGTTGAGGCAGCATAGTCCTGTATCACACATTGATCCTTGCTTTAGCACACATTTTTTAGGATCACAACAGCTAGAAGGTCCACACTGCTATGAAATGCAAATAAAAATACATTATAACATAATATAAACTTTGATAGGAGCTATATTTACTGTGCTTTTGAGTTTGGGGAAAGAACACGAATATGGTCAATATTTATGGATTTTTGCATCTCTATTAAAATACTAAGGTACTTCAGGTCAAAACAGAGTAACTGTTTTATAATATACATGTCTGACAAAGAACTGGTATCCAACCTATGCAAAAAACTCTTACAAGTCAATAATAAAAAATAAACAACTTAATTTTAAAAACTGATAAAATATTTGAACATATTATCCAAACAACAAATGGCCAATAAGGACATGAGAAAATATTCAACATCGGTAGTGTCATCAAGGAAATACAAATCAAACTGTTGGAATGACTAAAATATAAAGGCTGCAATATCAATTTCTGGTGAGGTTGTGGAGGCAAAGTTTCATATCTTGCTGCTAGGAATGTAAAATGATATAACCACTTTGGAAGAGAGTCTGGAAGTTTCTCATAAAAATACAGTTATTATATGACCCAGCAAATATTTTAGGAATTCAGAATAATGGCCCAATACTGTTAACAATTCAAATGCCCAGTATCAAGTGGATAAAAAAACAGATTGTGGTATATCCAAACAATGAAATAATACTCAAAATAAAAAGGAAGAAACTGTTATGTAATGTGGGTGAATCTTAAAAATACTGTCTTTAAAGGAATAAGTCAGACATAAGGAATACATGTTGTATCATTTCTTTCACATAACTTACTTGATCAGGCAAAACAGATGTAATCAGAAGTTGCCTGAAGATGAGAAGAGGAGGAAATGCTGCAAAAGGGGCATGAGTAAAGTTGGGGGTATAATGAAAACAATCTGTATCTTAATTGCACCAATGCTTATATACATTTGTCAGAACTCATCCATCTGTATCCTTAAAATGAGTACATTTTATTGTATGTAGATTATGCCCCAATAAAAATGATTGGAAAACAGATAAAGAAGAGTAAAGAGAGAAGACTTGTTCTACCAAATGGTAATATATAATACAAAAAAAGGCTTAATAATTAAAACAACATGATATACGCACAAAGACATTCAAACCCAAATATTATTCCTATCTATTTTGTGATCATAGAAATCCATAATGTCTGCTGTATCACCACAAATACTTCATAGTCTAGAAATATTATATCCTGGGTATTTTGCATTCATATTTTCAGGATTTCCCTATCAAAATCATGCAATGTTCAAACTATAATATTAACACAGTTCTCCCTTACCATATTACTGGTTCCACTGTGAAGTAAGACCCTAAAAGATACTTGACAGTCCACTGTCACATTAATATTCAATAATACATTTATAAAATGTCCAAAAGTTAAGCACAGGTTTGGAAAGATCTTATATATTTAGTCTGAAATCTAAAATCTCATTCTAGACTCCCATTTTTCCCATCAGCATTAATTTTTTGGAGTACATTTAATGTTTGTTCAAAACTCTTCAACCTATAAAACCTAGACAGTATTTTCTTATATGTATTTCAACCTTGATTTCACTTACTGCCATAGTCTACATGATACTCAGTCATATTTGAGATATAGAACATTCATGACAAAGAGATAAAATAAAACAGTAAATTTATTAATTAATTTTCCTAGTTATCAGACTTACTTCCTCAGTACCACAGTCACAGATTTCACCGCTCTCCACTTTGCCATTGCCACAGATTGCTGCTGGAGCTGCTTGCATTTGTGGCTTATTCTGAAGACATTTGCCACCCATATTGGAAATGAAATTTTTAAAGTCACTCAAACTGCAATTGCTAAAAATCTTCACACCACTGTACTGCCTAAGGAAGAATCCACATAATGTTGTTGAAGTATACTCTAGAAAATACAACTATATATTATATAAATTAATTTCAAAATGTAAAATTTATCTAAAATTATAAACGTTCATAATAAAAACTTAGAGGCCAAAATCATTCTTGAGGAAATTATGTGATTTATTTACTGGAATACACGTCTTTATTAAAACTAATTTAAGTACAACCCAATAGCAAAAACAAATAACTTATTAGAAAATGGATAAAGGGCTTGAATAGGCATTTTTCCGAAGAAGGCATACAAATGGCCAACGTGTATATAAAAAGATGCACAAAATCACTAAACATCAGGGAAATTCAAATGAAAACCACAATGAGACATCACCTCACACAAGTTAGAATGGCCAATCAACTTTTTTCTAATAATAAGTGCTGTTAAGGATGTGAAGAAATTGAAACCCTGGCATACTATTGATGGGAATGTAAATTTGTACTGCTGCTACAAACAATAGTAGAGAGGTTCCTCAAAAAATTAAGAATATGGCAACTCATATGATCCAAAAATCTCACTTCTGGGCATATATTCTGGGTATATATATATTAAAATCCCCTACTAGGACTATATTACTGTCAATCTCTCACTTTATGTCCATCACTTTGCTGTATATATTTAGGTGCTCCTATGTTGGGAGTATCAATGTTTACAAAGGTTATATCCTCTTGTTGGATTGACCCCTTTATCATTATGTCTTTCATTGTCTCTTATTATAGCCTTTGTTTTTAAGTCTAATTTGTCTGGCATATATATATATATATATATATATATATATATATATATATGGCAATATATAGTATTGCTACTCCAGATCCTAACACATTCTAACACATATCTCAAAAAAATATCTGTACTCCCATATTCACTGCAGCCTTATTTACAATAGGCAAAGATATGGAAGCAACCTAAATATCCAATGACAGATGAACTGATAAAGAAAATGAGGTGTATACATGCAATGGAATACTATTCAGTCTGAAAAAAGGAAATATGACATATGCAACAACATGGATGAACCTCAAGGACATGATGATAAATGAAATAAGCCAACAGAGGAAAAGAACCACTGCATAATTTCACTTTTATGAGGTATCTATAATAGCTAAACTCATAGATGCAGAGAGTAAAATGGCAAATGTCAAGGGTTAGGAGAAAGAGAACATGGGGAATTGTTCAATGGGTATAAGTTTGTTATGCAAAATGAATAAATCTAAGAGGACTTCTGTACAACTTAACAATAATATATTGTATATTGTATATTTTTAAATTGTTAAAAGGACTCCTGTTAAATATTCTTACAACAAAATTAAGAATAAATTAATTTTATTTTTATATGCATTACAAACTAAATCTATCTTTAAATGTTTTTAGTTTGGGAGTGGGATTTATGCAAATTCTTCCACATGGAGAAAAATGGCTATTTATGTGTATGATACCGTCTCTGAAATGAAATGATGGCATAAAAAAAAACCCTGTAATCTCTTATGTAAATCTCCATATGAATATCAATATCTCTTCAAACTTTTCTTTTACTTCATCCATCTTTCCCCTGAGCACTATAAAATTAAGAATCAAACTCTTTGACAGTTTAAATCTATTTCAATGTTTTTTTAAGCTTATTCATAGGTTTATACAAAATATATAATATGACAGTTAATTCATTCAACTTACCTTACCTGAGAAAGAAATTTTGTCATCTTTATTGTTGGCTTCACATTACCTGCACAATTCTTACCAAATGTAGAATCAATTGCCTATTGATTCTTCATACTAACAACTTATATTAAGCAAACTATACTATGTTTAGTCTTGAACTTTCTCAAAAATCTCAGAGAAATGTAATTAATTACAATTTAAATTAATTATGTCCATATAACAGTATAAAAATAACTTCAGAAAATAATTCCATAGGATGTCACTCTCAATATGTAGTAAAAGTCTATAAGGCAAGGAGAAAACTGACATATCCTGAGTACCTATTATTAAACAGATATTTCATATAATTGATCATTTAATTTTGCCCCAAAACCAGGGAGGCTCGTATTGTCATCAACATTTTATAGAAATTGAACCAGCATACAGAGAAGATAAATCCTCACCAAACACAGACAGTTTATAATTAACAGGATCCGTCGCACACAGTTAAAGACGTCAAATTCAGGTACTTTTTACCAAGAATTCATCTGTGACTATTACAAAATTCAATAAAAATACTATTAAATATTAATATTGTTTTACTCCTGCAGAGGTGAGGAACTTTTTATCTGCCAAGAGCCAGTGGATCTTTATAACATCATTCGTAGGACATACAAAATTATTACCTTAAAACTTAGCCTGCACCCAGCTAGTGTGATTCAGTGGTTGAGCATCAACCCATGCACCAAGAGGTCACCAGTTTGATTCCCGGTCAGGGCACATGCCCAGGTTGTGAGCCAAATCCCCAGTGGGGGACATGCAGGAGGTGGCCAATCAATGTTCTCTCTCATCAATGTTTCTCTGTCCTCTCTCTCTCTCTCTCTCTCTCTCTCTAAAGATCAATAAATAAAAACAAAAATTTAAAAAAAATAACCTGCTATATTTGGTCAGGCTAATTTGGTGAGGCATGTGATGTTAACTGGTATTGATTTCGTGGGCCTTATATAGCCCACAGACCAAACCTTCCCCACCCCTTTGAAAACACATATTTTGATTATCTTACCACCAAAATTGAAACTTGATAAAAATTTATAATTAGAAACTACATAATGTTCTAGCTCTGGGGACTATTTGTGGTCAACTATATATAATTTACTATATATATTCAGCTTTTTGCTTCCCATAATGACAGTTTTTAACTTAAGAACATACACTTCCAAAGTTTATTTGTAATCAGTTATCAGAAGTTTTTTTCATTTATTTGGTTGAGATTTTGCATTTTGAATTCTAATGCTATGTTAGCTTTGTTCCCAAATTATTATAATTTCTTTTTCATCCTCACCCAAGGACATTTTTGCATTTATCTTCAGACAGAGTGGGAGGGAGAGAGGGAGGACGAAAGAGAGAGAAACATCAATGTGAGTGAGACACATTGACTGGTTGCCACCCACACAACCCCAACTGGGGCAAGGGACAAACTGTAACTGAGGTACGTGCCCTTAGCAGGAACCGAACCCAGGTCTCTCCAGTTCACGGGCCAACACTCTAACCACTGAACAAACCAGCCAGGGCCCCAAATTATTTTTTTAATTTATCTCTATTGTTGAAAGTATTACAGATATCTCCCCTTTACCTCCATTGACCCCCTTGTTCCCCACTCCCACCCCCACTGAAACTGTCATATAACTAACTTAAATTCTCAGGTCAAAGAACAGAGAAATTAAGTGGCAGAAGAAAATAATAAGAAAGAGTAGTACTTTCTACCATTTTTCTGAAATTGGTGTTAAAATTTAATAGCAGTTTGAAAAAAAAGAAAAGTTTACCCTTTATACTCTCTGATTTTCCTTTCAAGGTCTTTCTGTCTTCTACACTTTTTTCCAAAAAAATTTCTTGTTGTTACTGTGTATTCCTATATGACCATTTTAATACTTTCCTAGACCTTCCCTATTCTTCAAACCATACAGATATGAGTACAATTATAAATAACTTACATATATCTTGATTACTTGCATCATCACAACTGTGTGATATAGCTATTATGGTGCTCAATTTTCAGATGAAAAAACTAAGGGTTAGAAAAAATTAACAAACAAACAAGTGAAAGACTCCAAAGCCCATATTCCCCTCAAGGTATTCCATACTCCACAACAGTATCCCCTTCCATCAGAAGGAAAAGAGAAAGAGCAGGGATTGAGAACACATTTGAAGAAACAGTAACTAAAAACTTCCTTAACCTGGTAAAGAAAAAAGATATACAAGTCCAGGAAGCACAGAATGTCCCAAAGAGGGTCACACCAAGACACACTATAATTAAAACAGCAATAGTTAAAGACAAATAGAAAATCATAAAAGCTGCAAGAAAAAGGCAGTCAGTTACCTACAAGGGAGCTCCCATAAGGCTGTCAGCTAGTTTCTCAACAGAAACATTCAGGCCAAAGAGATTGGCATGAAATATTCAAGGTGATGAAAAGCAAAAAAACTACAACAAAGACTATTCTACCCAGCAAGCCTATCATTTAAAGTTGAATAAGAAGAAGCTATATGCATATATGCACAACAAGTTGACGTAGACACTAGGCTGGGGAAGGCAGAAGAGGGGTGGGAATGGAAGGAGGGGGTCAATGAGGGGTAAAGGGGGATATCTGTAATACTTTCAACAATAAAAATAAACAAACAAACAAACAAATAAAATTGAATAAGAAATTAAGAGCCTCCCAGACAATAAAAAGCTAAAGGACCTGGCAGTGGGCAGGACCAGAGTGGGGGGGGGCGGTGTATGTGAGAGTGTGAGTGAGTGTGAGAGACAGTGTGAGTGGACGTGAGTGTGGAAGAGCAACCTCAAGCAGTGCAGAAATATGGGACAGCGGGAGTGGCAAGTAATATACAAAGTAATAAAAGACAAGGGTCTGAATCCAAGACTACTCTATCCAGCAAAGCTATCATTCAAAACTAAATGTGAAATAAAGAGCTTCACAGACAAAAAAAAAAAAAAAAAAAAAAGCTAAAGGAACTTACCACCACCAAACAAGCACTGCAAGAAATGCTAAAGAAACTGTTGGGCCCTGGCCGGTTTGGCTCAGCGGTTAGAGCATCGGCCTGCGGTCCGGAGAGACCCGGGTTCGGTTCTCGCTAAGGGCACTACTTCGGTTGCAGTTTGTCCCCGGCCCTGGTTGGTCGTGCAGGTGGCAGCCACTCAATGTGTCCCTTCACATCGATGTTTCTGTCTCTCTCTCCCTTCCTCTCTCTCCCTCCCACTCTATCTGTACAAAAAAATGGAAAAATATCCTCGGGTGAGGATAAAAAAATAAAAAATAAAAAAATAAAATAAAGAAAC